TTGCCCAAAGCTATTAAACTCAGGGCATTTTGCATTGGAACAATAGAAAAATGAACCACAAAGGTTTCAAGGGAATACTTGGAGCTGTGCTACACGTGAATTTATGGAAAAATGAAAGCATCGATTTAGTTTGGATTTAGGTCTGTGATTTTTGAGTATGCTATCGCAAAGAGAAGAAGTGTCACCCGTAATCCAGAGTGTAGACTTTATTCTCCCAAGCCCGCTGACTAGACTGTAGCTTAGAATGGCTTCTGCTATGTCTTTAACACCTGAGGAAAACAGGAAAACCTCTCTGTTATCAGATAAACACATGTTTAGAAGTTCATTTGGGGTACGAGGCTGGAGAGACCTCATTGGTTAAGAGTGCTTGCTGCTTTTCCATAGGACCCAGGTTTGGTTCCCAGAACCCACACTGGGAAATTTACAGTTGCCTGTAACTCCAGCACCAGATGAACTGATGCCCTCTTCTGACCACATGGCACACACACATGCATGTACACACACACACAAACACACACACATCACAACGATGATACAGTAATAAAAGAGCAGGTGAATGTTAGGGCTGGAGAACTGAGTGTAATAGGAAGAACTGAACCTCTCCCAGTCTGAGCCTTAGGCTGGCTCTCTCGTTTCCTATGTTGCTGTGGAAACTTGGCAGCTGGTCAGATCTGACAGAGTTTGTTGGGGATGGTCTCTCTCTGGGCAGAAGCTGCAGCAAAGTTTTTACCCTGCTCTGCCCGAGACAGGAGACCGAAAGGCAGGGACCATTTCAGATGGAAGGGATTATTGCCTCTGCCTTGGTTTTCATCTGCCCTTGTCCTCCCCATGGCAGAGGCAGCCCCTGGCAAGCAGCTTTTCCAGTAGGGAGGGTGACTTGTTTATAAGTATGTCAAGTGTCTGTCCCACTTTGCAAATGTGAGCACAACACAAAATGTTTGGAATTATCTTGTCCCCAGGGAGAAGGGGTGGGAGAGACACTTCCAGCTGCACAATTGTCCTGGCCCCTTTGTTTGGTTTCTATATTATGCAATGATATTTAACACCACTATTATTTTGCTTTTCTTGTCTCTTGGTTAGGAAGGAAGGTTTTTTTTTTTTTTTTTTTTTTTTAATAAAAATGTAGTTTTCATTCTCAAGGGAAACGGCTGAGTGTTTGAGTCATTGGGGGAGAATAATTGCCCCTAATGCCATCATCAACAGTTCCTGCCAGTCACGGCCACTTCAAGTCTTTCGAGTTTTATCCGTGTGCTGCGAACACTGACCATAAACATTGCTTTATTCAATGATCTCCATCCCGCACCTACTGTGACCTGCAAGATGGGAGGAAAAAAAACCCAAACCTACCTTCATGTCTTCCTTTGGACTATGACAAACTCCAGGGATATCCTGGCTATTGCCCCTTAAGTAATAGACTGATTTACTATCCATTTTCAGAATGTAGAAATTATCCTCCAGATCTCTCTTTGCTTTAAGAATGTCATTTAAGATTCCAAAGAATCTTAGCCTTGCTCTAGGAAAAACACAGTTGAGGTTGATTATGCGGTAGTGTTGCACTTAGGACGCTAAAGTGGGGGGGGGACATGCAAGGTGAAGGCTAGACTGGGTGACATAGTGACACTGGCTCAGAAAACACAGACAAAAAATTAAGGAGCATTTTTTTTCTCCTTGTTATTTTCTTCATGACTGGGCTATTGCATATGGTAGCCACTATTCACACATAGTCATCTGAAATTAAACACACTAAAGATTTGGTCTCTTAGTTGCATTTGCTATATATCACATGTGTTTTGCTGCCTTTGTATTTGGCAGCATGGACACAGAGCATCCCAGGGCCAGGAAAAGCTCTTTGGAACTGTGTGGTTCTGTGTTTACAAGCTTCTAGGATCATACCCCCATGTTATTTTCTCTGCTCATGTGTTGTGTGGCAACTATTTGCCTGGCATCTTTAATTAATTAATTAATTGTTAAGTTTACTAAACGTTTATTCTGTTTTTTTTTTTTTAAATCTTTAATGGTCACTTTTACTATATATATTTTGCCTTTATGTATGTGTGTACCTCACTTCAATTTGCCATGTGGGTGCTGGGACTTGAACCCTGGTCCTCTGGTAGAGCAGGCAGTGCTCTTCACCACTGAGCCATCTCTCCAGCCCTTTGCCTGGCATCTTATTCTGCAGTGGAAGCTCACTGTGGGCAGGGTCTGGGTTGAGTGTGCCCCCTCCCCCCCCCGGGCTTCCTGGCTACAGTGCAGATGGGCAGATGGGAGGATTGCCTCGTTCTGAACGTTCGTGGATGCAGGGTGATCTCTCCCGGGAGGGGCAGAACCACACTGTTAAAGCTCCAAGAATACAGCTCAGCCTGTGTTTTGAGAGCAGTCACAAATACACTCAGTTCCCAAAACACACAAAAAACGAGGGCCTACCGTTGATTGAAGATGGTCTTTAGCAACTGCCCTGTGCTGTCTCTGAAGTTTTTAATAGCACCTCAGGGGCCAGTAAATTGAGACAGGCATCTTGTGGGAGCCCTATTGACACGGAGACCACCTCCGTGGGCTGGAGAAGGTGGGGTTCTGAGATTCTGTAACCTGTCTGTCTGCAGGCAGAGTGCTCCCCTTGTTGTCAGGCTGGTCTCTGGCACAGTCACCCTGAGTCTCTTTTGGCTCAGAACAAGCCACTTCCAAACTGAATTTATGGCCTCTAGTTCAATGCCACGGTGACGCCTGTAGCTGTCCTTCTCTGTGAGCGACAGAGCAGACAAGGCAACCTCTGCCGGTTTAAAAAAGGAAACGTTGTCTCTCCTCCGGTGAGTTCTCTTAAAAAAAAAAACCACACTGTTTAAAGACAAGCAAAATCTTCGCAGTAACACAAGGCAGGGCATGTTAGTATCCTCACTGCTGAGGATGGGATAAACGAATTGCCAGAAAACACAGGCAACTTCTCCAAGACTCGCCAGTGTCTGTGTGGGTGCTGGGATCTAGGCCTGTGGTCTGGTCCTTGCTCCCAACTGCCAGGCCACACTGCTGCTCCTGCTTACCAACACAGTAAGCCTGAACACCCAACCTGCTATTACCACCACCACCACCACCACCACCACCACCACCACCACCACCACCACCACCTACAACAACAACAGAAACTCAAAGTCAGGGCTCAGAGCACTGCAGAGAGAAGTCACCTCAGGAATGTCCTCTGCTGATGGGAATCTGGGAGGGGAGGCTAGGCCTATTGTTATACAACTCAGTTCTGAGGTAATTCCATGTGAGAAGCACCACTAGGGGCTACATTGCTTCCACAAAGAGTCAAGCAGTCCAGCATGGGGCTAGAAGCTGGGATGTGTTTACACACAGAACAGATTAAATCTTCCTTGTCTTGAAGCTCTGAGTTGGGGATCCCATTGGCAATCAAGCCACACAAACAAATGATTCTCTCAGACCCTTCAGGAGCTGTAGAGGAAGCAAGAGTTGTGAGAGATTGTGATGTCTGAACCTGTGAGAGTTGGAGAAACCTCCTAAAAAAGGAAGGTGGGGTCCACACCCAGATGATGGAGAGGGCAGATGGAGTCCCCTCCAATGGAGCTGGCTAGATGAGCAGAGAGGCCATGCAACCAGTGCTAAGCAAGGGCCATAGAAATGCCATCACTGAGGCCAGGGAAGGGCCCAGGGGTCAGATACTGCTATCCTGGAACACCCTTAATGTGTCCTAATGGCAGGTGGACACCTCTCAAGGGTTTTAGTCAGGGATCCAGTGCCTAGGCTGGTATGCTTCGGTTGACCTGGAAGGTCAGAGTGCATAAGGGTTTACTGAAGGTGTCTGGGAATTCCCATCCTAAAGAGTTCCATTTGACTCAGTTTCCCAAGCTGATTATTTATCACTGCCTCTTTTGAAAACAGGCAATAATTTCTTTTCTTACTTTTTTTTAATTTTAATTTTTATTAATTATGATTTATTCATTTTGCATCCTCCCTGTAGCTCCTTCCCTCCTCCCCTCCCAACCCTACCCTTCCTCCCCCTTCTCCACCCATGTCCCTCCCCTAGTCCACTGATAGGGGAGGTCTTCTTCCTTTTCCTTCTGATCTTAGTCTATCATATCTCATCAGGAGTTGCTGCATTGTCTTCCTCTGTGTCCTGCTAAGGCTGCTCCCCCCTCAGGGGTTGGTGATCAAAGAGCAGGCCAATCAGTTCATGTCAGAGACAGTCCCTCTTTCCATTACTATGGAACCCACTTGGACACTGAACTGCCATGGGCTACATCTGTGCAGGGGTCCTAGGTTATCTCCATGCATGGTCCTTGGATGGAATATCAGTCTCTGAGGAAATAATTTCTTACAGAAATTCACTTAGCTGGTTGGTATTCCACTAGAGAGCAATGGGCAGAATGGAAAGGCGCTGGATTTGGGGTTCAACGCTATAATTTAATAGGTAAAACTTGGAGACCGAGTTCTGGACCTGAGGAAGTCTAAGTAGAGGTTATCCACAGGAGCAGAGGGTGGATGTCTTACAGGTTAAAGCTTTGGTTTTATTGTGCACAGATTTAGGCTGTGAGGTAATCCCCACTATTCACAGCTGTATGACACTGGTCCAGTCACACCTTCCCAGGCTGCTGTTTCCTTATCTACAGAGTCAGGGGTTCTGTTTCATGGGTTAGTTGTGAAGGCTGACAAGATCCTGAATGTGGATCACTGGGCCCATCCTGTTTGTGGTCAGTTAGTAAGACCACTTCATCTCTATGGATTTTTTTTTTTTCAAGGCAGGATTTCTCTGTGTAACAAATCCTGGCTGTCCTGAGCTTAATTTGTAAACCAGGCTGGCCTTGAACTCACAGAGATCCTCCTGCCCTGCCTCCCAAGTGCTGGGATTAAAGGCGTGCACTGCGGCACTTAAGATTTATTTGAGATTTACTTACTAAGGGCAAGCCAATACAGTAACCAACGGGGTTCTCCCTGTTTTTCTTGCAAAGCTAACCTCTGTGCCATTTCATTTTTTTTCTCTCCCAATGCAGTTTCTAATAAGTGACCGTGACCCTCAGTGCAATCTCCACTGCTCCAGGACTCAGCCCAAACCTATCTGCGCATCAGATGGCAGGTCCTACGAGTCCATGTGTGAGTACCAGAGAGCCAAGTGCCGAGACCCAGCCCTGGGCGTGGTCCATCGAGGTAGATGCAAAGGTGAGTGACCTGCACTCAGGCCAGCAGAGGCTGCTGGGACTGCAGCTCTCATGTTGAGAAATCATCACTGGACTTGCACACCTTTGGTTTTCTCTTCCCTCTCTATCATCTTTTAAAACACTATTTCACTGGAGTTCCTTAAAGCCTCTCCCTTCCAACCCCAACCCTACATAGGAGAGAGAAGGTTAGTGGGGAGAGGGTGTGCAGACCCCTTTACTTCTCCCAGCTGTTTAGGATCAAAGGGTTCTTTTTGGGGTTATAGCAGTCTCTGTCAGCAGCAGAGGCGGTAAGCAGTCTCCCCCAAGCTGCTGTGTTGAAAAGTTTCTCTCCATCTGTCCTTACACTGCCACACCGTCAGTCTCTGGTTTCTCCACACTGTCACTCACCACACACCACCACAGCACACTTTCTCTTCCTGGGTGCTCATATTTATATCCTCAGAGCCCCACACCACGCCCCTCTCTGTACCCCACGAGGCAGGCCATCGTCAGCTGTCAAAGACCACACCCCACATGAGACAGTTATCAGCTGTGGACAGACTAAAGCCCAAACTAAAACCCCACACTTGGGATTAAAACAAAAAACATATTTACACAACGTAACTGTTTTTTTTTAAGGAAATCCAAACTCCCATTACGCATCTGTGTCTCTCTCCACCCTCCATCAGGGTGTGAAGGAAGGAAGAGTGTGGATGAGCACTTCCCTGATTTTCAGACACTGCCACCATCAAGGAGCAAGGGGCTCTCTGGCCAGTGTCTTGTTTGTTTGTGGTTTTGTTTCAAAATGGAGACCCAGTACATTACTGCTGGCCCCCCAAATAGGGATTCCAAACAGTTGGTTCACAGAAGCGTCTTGTTTGATCTGCTTTAAAACATGACAAGTATTTTGAGATAACATTTAAAAAATTGGAAGATTCTGCAACAACAACAAGCTGGCCTTTTGTTTCTCTCTTCCAAAACTGGTAGGTCTGGTACTATCAGGTTTGTTCATGCAAAACAAGCATAGCTAGAGCTGAGGAATTTCCAGCCCCTAAAGCAGAGCTTGCTTTTTGGTTTGCTATAGTCCTTTTGGCTTCTGAGCACTGACTGCGATTCTTTTCAGGCACAATCTGTGTTGCTTTCTTAGTCCTTTTGGTATTTGAGCTTGTGGCTGTTGATTGCCTATAGCCATCATAGAAAACACAGGAGCCTAGCTGGCTGTTCCAGACATTTGATTCTCTCTCTCTCCCCTACCCTCTCTTTCTCGGTTTTTTCGAGACAAGGTTTCTCTATGTAGCCCTGGCTGTCTTGGACTTGCTTTGTAGACTAGGCTGGCCTCGAACTCACAGAGATCCTCCAGCCTCTGCCTCCCAAAGTGCTGGGATTACAGGCGTAAATTTCTCATGAAATCCCTATCTATTGTTGCTATGTAGTCCAGGCAGGTCTGGCACTCACTATGTAGCCTGGCCTGGCATAGGGCTTTCTGGCATTAAAGGTGTGCACCATCCCACTCCTCTCGTACCTCCTGGATTTATTAGTTTTAGAAAAGCTCGGGGAAATTAACGAAAATGGAACCCTCCTCTCCTCATAGTATGAGCAAAGGAACATCTGGGAGGAAAAAAAAAAGCAGAACCTGGGCTAATATGCCTCTCCTCTACTTTACAAAGTATAACATTGAGAGGAGGGTGAGCTTGAGCAGCCATCTGTGGGCACAGGCATCATGCTTTTACTGCTGGACAGGCTGGTGGCATGCTGCCCTGCCCCCAGGTGGAAGGTTTTTCTCAGTGTTCCTGCCATGGGACAGCCATTTTGGACCCTGGCTTCTATGTGGAATCCAAGTGAAACATATAATGTCCTCCTCTCCCTGTTTAGATGCTGGCCAGAGCAAGTGTCGCCTGGAGAGGGCTCAGGCCTTGGAACAGGCCAAGAAGCCTCAGGAGGCTGTGTTTGTCCCAGAGTGTGGTGAAGATGGCTCCTTCACACAGGTGAGAGGCCTCACAGGGGTTCCTCAGGGGCCGCTTGCTGGACTGAGGCAGAAGGGAGGTGTCTGGAGAGTACTAGGGTCATTTAGCACCTTCACTTTCTGGGAAATGGCTGGGTGAGTGGCTCTTCATCTCCCCTCTGCACTGCCTTTCCTCTTCTGGGCCCTCCATGCCACTCCTTGCCAACTGGCAGTGGGCCCTGACAAGATGCATGGGAGTCTGAGCCAGGAAACTGGCATGGCCGGGTCCCCGTCCTCCCTGCTGGCTCTCTCTTCTGAGGGCCAGACCTGCGTTTTTCTCTTCTGTCAAATGTGGGCTGATTATTTTCTCTTACCCCTGCCAGTTTCCACGGGCAACCTCAGTATTCCCTTCACAGTTTATTGCCACCCGTCCGCAACCCCTTGCTGTGCACGGAGCATACCAGGGCTTCCAGACTGTGTGTGCGCGTATGCGTGTGCACGAGGGCACGAACGAAGGTTTTTAAATACTCTTCTTTCAGCAGTTCCCACCTCTCCTGCTCAATGTTCTGCCTGTTGCTTTGTGTAAAAGCAGGGTAGGATATGTTGGCATTGGCGGACTTCCTGAAGGTGGAAGCTTCTAGGCTGCTCCCTAGCGCCCACTTCTGTGAGTCAGGACACATGGCAGATGCATGAAGATGCTGTTGTGATGGGAGTAGGGAGAGTCACAGGACATGGTAATCTTAGCTTGGATGGGGCTTGTCCCTGTGCCTGGCCCCCTCCACTAGGATCCTCCTATTCAGTAGAACAACATTCGGGGGGAGTCTACCCTTTCAGAGATGGAGGCAACAGCGTCAGGGCTTTAAAAGTGTCTCTAATTCCCCATCAGGAGATGCAGTGCAACGTGGCTATCGGTTAGAGGTTTCTCAGATTTCACTTCTTGGCGAGGCCTAGGAGGTTATTGCTCTCAGGCCAATACTGTCTTGTGTAGCAACACAGAAGGGTGGTTGGGTGGAGATTTACTTCAATTTTTGTTTGTTTGTTTTTTGTTTTTTTTGAGATGGGGTTTCTTTATGTAGTCCTGGTAGTCCTGGCTGTCCTGGACCTCACTCTGTAGACCAGGCTGGCTTCAGACTCACAGAGATCCACCTGCCTCTGTCACCCGAGTGCTGGGATTAAAGGGGTGTGCCTCTACTGCCCAGTGACTTCTATATTTTAAGTGCTTCTCAGTTGATTCAAACATGTAACTGGTTAGAGAGCACAGGGATAAAGTGACCTTCGCCATCAGCCCTGGGTGAGGTGCTTGCTTGTTTTGACTTTCCATTTAGAACTTTGCACAGCCGTGGGAGGTGGTGCCATTATCCCGTCATGGCTTGGAGTGGAGAGCTGGGTTCAAGCCCAGAGCACTCCGAAGATTCCTATGTTCTGCTGCTTTCTGAACTGACAGACTCAGAGGAAGCTCTGAAGTGTGCACTAGGAAGATGCAGTCTAGGGCTGTGGTGGGTGCACGTGCCTGGTTGGGGCCGAGCGCCTGGGCCTGAGGCCAACCCACACAGGCAAGTCACCTAGCTGCTCAGGGGGTGCTCCTCTGAAAGAGAATAGAGACGGTTATCTTCGTGATTGTTTTGTTGTACACGTGTGATAAATTATTATGACATCATGGGCATTATGTATTACTCTTATGTTATGCACGACATATTACTGCTATTAGTGGTTATTATTCCACTTCCCTCATGAGGCTGTGATGAGGATTAAATGAGCTAACACATGTGAAACTCTTGGGACATATGGGCGCCATGTAAGCATTCATCAGCACCATCTTCACGTGGCCCTCCAACTTAGATCTTCCCAAGATCTTATGGATGGCACTACTTAAGAATGGGGGGATGGGAGGAAGGGCACACAAAGAATTTGGCTGAAACTTTCCAAGCACGGAGATTCATGAGCCTTCCCTCCTATCCATTTATAAATTTACAATTTAGTCTAGTAAAAAGAATGTAGTGACCCTTGTCTGTGTTTGAAAGAGTGCTTGAGCATCTATATCCTCAGAGGGGAAATCAGACATTCCCGATGTTTGTTTTGGGCTAAGACCTGTGGGAGAAAGGTGACGGGGAGGAGGGCAGAGCTGAAGGCAGCTGTTTTCTCCTTTCTGCAGGCTCGTGTAGTCCCCGGGTGTGTTGCTTATGAGAGTGGTTGACCTTTGCCCTCCTGATTCTGAAGTGTTTGCTGTCTCACGACAGACAGCCCCTAGCCAGCTTTTGTTCTGGCCCGACCAGGTGGTGTTTGCTAAAGGAAAGGAACTTCCAGATTAGCACAGGCTGACGTGCTAAATGAGAGCGCCCGGGAGTGCAGACTGTCAGGTATCCCTTGCTTCTGTGACAGGTTAAGCACTGCCATGTGTCCACAGTTCAGGCCGGCTCAGCGCGGTGGGCAGCTAGGCAGCCAGTCAGTAGATCATCCCAGCTCAAGTGATTAAATGAAGTGCCACCCCCCCCCCCAAAGATGCTGCAATAACTTCACAAGACGAGACCTCCACTCCGAGTGTGATTCAGTCACTCTGACAAGCAGCCAGCCAGAGGGCCGTGAGACACAATGCCTGTCTCCTTCCCCCACGGACCATCATCACTCAGCCAGCTCTTTTTATCCCTCTAAAGACCAAAGCCCAGAGACAAGCTACACTGCTCTAATATTCCTTGGCATATTGGCATGTATGCATCCTGGAGTTAGTAGCGTGCCTTAGTCCTGGGAATTACTACAGATGTCGTTCCTCTGAAGAACAAGGAGAGAGTGACGGGGCTTTATCTGGTGTGAGGCGCAGCTGGGGGCCACATGACTGAATGAGCTTTAATGAGGCTCATGTGGGGACTCTGTGGCTTCTCCCTTCTTCCTTTGTTTCCCTTTGTCCTCTTTCCTCACTGTACCCAACCTCAATTCACACGCGGATGGTTCATTGTCACTTATGGCAGAGACGTTGCACATCTCTGTCTGTACGCCACTGTTTGAACTCCCAGTACTCAGGATTGTCCCAGACCATTAAATCGAATTCCGAGGCTCGCATCTGGACACCGGAATTTTTGTGTGTGTGTGTTTGAGTGTGCAGGTACACGTGTGTGTATGGTTGTACATGTGCTTGTGCGTGTGTGTGTGTGTGTGTGTGTGTGTGTGTGCAGGCCAGAGGAAACCTTGGGTGTTGTTCTTTCAGAAACAACTACCTTGTTTTTTTGAGGCAGAGTCTCTCACTGGCCTAGAACTTGCCAATTAGGTTAGGTTGCCTGGCCAGTGAGCCCTGGATCCGGCTATCTCTCTGCCTCTACAGCACTGGGACCACAAAGGCATGTCACTATGTCTAGCCATTTTACCTGAGCTTTGGGGTCAAGCTTAGGACTTCATGCTTGCAAGGCTGAAGCGCTTTATGGAGTCACCTCAGACAATGCTTTTTAAGTCTTCTCATTCCTCCAGGAGTGATGTCGATATTCATTAAAAAATTCAAACCTTGTCTCCTGGTTTCTTAAATGCACCACTGAGATATGGGGTTCGGCTTTTTGGGGACCTGGAGTGGAGGCAGGTGCTTCAGGCCTTGTCTTTTGTTATGTAGTGTTGTCTATTTGTTCTCCGGATACCAGGGACATAATTCCCAATATCTGTTCTACCAAGGTCTCTGTCAAGTGTTTGTTGTCTGCCCAAACTGAAATCTCAGCTGTGGTGACTGGGAGTTGAATTGCTGCCATCAGGAAGTGCTGGCAGGAGCTGGTCAAGCCTGGACAAAACTGAATGACCACGATGGTCACTGTTGAGTGTGCTGGGGCCAGCCAGAGGTTTATTATACTCACTGCTCCTCACTGTAACCTTCTCTAGGTAGTTATTAATGCCTGTATATAAAGAAAAGTGGAGTTTCAGAAGGAGTGAAGAGCAGTTTGAGGTCACTGAGCTGGAAGGGGTTTTTACTCAAGCTGGTTAACTTCGGGGCTCATAATGTTTTTGTGCAGAAGTGGCCTCGATGCATGTGTAATTCATTTTCACCACCATTGTTATCCCAGAATTCCCTCTCTTGTTGCCCAATCAATCAAACACACATTAAAAAAAAAAAACCCTTTGATTATGGAAATTTTTTAAAAAAAAGTACAAAAGAGTAGGCATAATAGTATAATGAACTCCATGTACCCACTGCCACTTCCAACAATGATTGACACGTGGCCAACTCTGTTTCATCTTCACCCCATTTTCGTCCCCCATCCCAAACTGAGCTACTTCAAAGCGAATCTCCAGACACAATATCTTTTTATCCCAGGCAGGCAGGCGTTTGGAGCTCTACCGTGTTCTGGGCTGTGCACTGGTTGGTTGCTATGAGGGATTAAAAAAATGTGACCCCTGCCTCACTCGGAAAAGATAGCAAGACACATGACAAAGTGAGTGTATAAAGACCGCACATGTGTAGCTGGAAATTAATATTTCAAAAGCCCAAAGAGCTCAGGGTGCATTTTGTCAACAAGAAAACAAACACAAATTTAAGTTTTTGACCGTAAACGCCTTAAGCTAAAAACAAATGATACTCATTAGCTTTAATGACAAAGAGCTGACCTTGTGTATTGGAATCTCTTGTAATTTGGAAGGGGGAAAAACCTGGTAGAATGTAGTCAAGAGATGCCAAGAAGGAGGGCATAGGAAAATAAGATGTTAGCTGTGAGCGAGGCTGGGGCATGTAGCTTGGTGACAGGCCATCCGTAACCCTTGGTACCACCAAAGGAAAAAGAATGAAAATAACCAAAAAATGAATATGTATGATGTAATCTCCTCTACTCATTAAAGTGTATAAATAAAAATGCTGATGGAGTGGTTGGGGAGATGGCTTGGTGAGTAAAGCACCTGGCTTGAACGCACAAGGACCTGAGTCTGCTCCTAAGAGCCCATCTAAGAAGGTGGGTGTGGTGGTGTGCTTGTAATCTTAGCACTGGGGAGGTGGAGATGGAAGGGTCCTTAAGACTCCCTGGCTGGTCAGCCCAAGCTATTCAGCAAGATTCTGGCCAACGAACGACCCTATCTCAAAAA